AACTCTCCAGTCGAATAAGGCCGACAATTTTGAGAATTGAACTGAAAAAGTCAAAATTTGCAGTTTCAAAAGTTTCCTTTCAAATGAATTTTAGTTTCACTATTATGCCAAGCTGTAAAGCCTTCCGATTTCAAATGACGAAGCAAACAATGCTGATTATCGTGCAGGGAGTTCGAAATTGTTCTGGCTTATTAAGAGTCAATTTGCAGGCTCTTTCAAGTGGACAGCCAGTTTTGGGCTGCGCGCGGCCATCGTGTTTTGGATGGGGCGAAAAAAGCGACGCGCGCAATATGGCTCGATTTTACAGGTGAACTACTTCACTGAAAAAGTTGCATTATGATTTGAAAACTTCCCTTTTTTAACGTTTCTCTCAAATGGAATTACCACTGCTTGTTTTTTGCAGGATTCATAAGAAAAATGACGGCTTCATGCGCAAAAATGATCTCAAAAAATATGACAAGGTTGAAATAGCTGCTAGAGAACCGCAACTAGCCGTAAGTTTATATGGATCCATAAAGTCTGAATTCGCAATATGGATCAGCAAAGCTTAAATGACCAATATTGCGTTTTCACAATTTGGCCTTAAAAAATAAAGTTAATGGATGACTGACGTGCACATAGGGCATGCCCCCTACCACGTCATACATGCGCCACTTGAATTTTTATGCGTTTTATGCAGCTATGCAATGCAGAAAACGCATATTGACAAGGGGTTGTCTGTCTGTGTGCGTGTCTGTGTGTTCGTCTGTACCGATTTTTCATCTCAAGACTTACGAAAGCTACAGGGCTGAAACTTTAGGAGCTTAATCTACACGCATGTACGGGCCCCAACCCCCGAAATGGGCGGTCTTACCCGCTTAGTACCCACGTAGGGCCCACCAAGTTCTTTTTCGGGTAATTTGATAACTCGGAGATCTGAGAAACTAGAAAGCTGAAATCTTAAGGGAATGTTCCCCGTTCAAGTAGGTAATAATGTGCTCAAACCCAGCCTCCGGTAAGCGTGGTACTTACGTACGAGTCCGCCAAAATTTTTTCCGGATAAGTTGATAACTCGGGAATCTGAGAAACTAGCAGGCTGAAATCTTAAAAGAATGTTCCCCGCCCAAGTAGATATTAATGATCTCAAATCTAGCTCCCGGATAAGCGTGCTGCCCATGTACGCGCCCATGAAATTTTTTTTCGTGTAAGTCGCCTACTCGTGAATCTGAGAAGCTAGAAGGCTGAAATCTTAAGAAGGTGTTTCCCGTCCAAGTGGATATTAATGAGCTCAAACCCAGCTTGCTGGTAAGTGTAGTACCTATGTGCGGATCCGTAAAAGTTTTTTTGGGGTAAGTTGTTAATCCGGGAACCTGAGAAGCTACAAGACTGGAATTTTGAAGGGATGTTTCGTGACAGTTCTGGCGGCCAGTCTGAAATTCTTTTAGCTAGAAACATCTGTTGGAAAACCCAGTGCCGATGGCGACAAAAATCTGCGGGAAGCTACGCAAAAAGCGCATCTTCGCACGGGCAGCCGGTGCTTTGGTCAATTATTATGTTTCGCTCTGTTTTGCAGTTTGCTAGGGTTACTTGGGTTGTCCAAGCAGCATGTGTGAAACTCCACCTTCAGGGGGGGTTTGAATGCTGTGCTCATAATCCAAATAAATTCATGCTGGACCCCTTCTCTCCAAGCTGCTTGCCTACTCTTGCATGATAAACGAGATGTTCTGCTTATTAGTTTTTACTTTCCATTTGGTCTAATGTAATAATTGGCCAACGTAGGGGCTGTCCTCGCGAAGGTGCGTTTTTGCATAGTTCGCCACAGTTTTTGTTGCTACCGGCACTGGCTTTTCAGCAAATGTTTCTAGCTAAACAAAGACTGGTCGCCAGAACTGTCAGAAAACACCCCCTTAAAATTTCAGCTTCTTAGCTTCCCTGGCTCCTGAGTTAGCAACTTACTGGAAAAAACTTTTCACGTGCTTGTTTACCACGCATACCCGAGAGTTTGGTTTGAGCTGAATGAAACTTAGGTGGACGGGATATATTCTCTGAAAATTACAGTCCTTTATCTTCTCAGGTACTCGAGTTATCAACTTACACGAAAAAAACTTTGGTGGGCCCGTATATGGGCACCACGCTTACTCGGGGGCTGGATTTGAGTTCACTAATACCCACTTGGGCGGGGAAAGTAACCCTAAGATTTCAACTTTCTAGCTTCTCAGATCCCTGAGTTATGCACTTACCCGAAAAATTTTTGGTGTATGTGAGTACCACGCGGGTAACGGCGCCCATATTGGGGATTGGGGCCCGTACATATATGCAGATCAAGTTCCCAAAGTTTCAGCTCTGTAGCTTTTGTAGGCCTTGAGATGAAAAACCGTCACAGACGTACACACGGACACACAGACAAACCCTCGTCAATATGCGTTTTCTGCATTGCATAGCTGCAAAAACGCATTAAAATTGAGACACTGGAAAATGTGCTGGTGAACAAGTCGTGATGTGCTATTTTTATCTCATAACCAAAACGTTAGATAGAGCCACATGCGCAGATAGAAGTGGAAATTATCAGTAC